CTTTCCTACAAAACCATTTCCATTAGATAATTTAAGATTAGAGTTGAGATGTACCTCCTTGTCGGTATCCTCCATAAATGAGCATTGGCCAACTTTGGGTGGAGAGTCCCGAGCGTTGTTCATCGTGAAGGTAGCCATCTCCCCATGAGCCGAGAGAGTGACTCGTCCCTCCTTGACGTCGATAATGGTGTTGGTCGTCGCCATGAAGGGTCGCCCAAGCAAGATAGTGTGCTCCTTCCCGGTATTCGGGACATCTCCGACGTCAAGGACTACGAAGTCGACCGGTACAACAATCGAGCCAACCTTGACCAACACATCTTCGATTATCCCTTTTGGCTCCCGCAAGGTGCGGTCCGCCAATTGGAGGCTCATTCAAGTCGGTTTGAGGCCTTGTAAACCCAATTGTTTGTAAATAGAGTAAGGCATGAGGTTGATACCGGCTCCCAAATCTAGCATCCCGGTTGTAATCTTCTCATTCCCGAATGTAATCTTCATGACAAAGGCTCCCGGATCACATTCTTTCTGAGGTATGGTAGTCGAGGCTACCTCGGTAATCATCACCTTCTCATTATCCTTGAACCTCCGCTTTTTTGAAGCTAAGTATTTGAAAAATTGAACATAAGCCGGCACGTTTTTAATAACGTCTAGAAGTGGGAGGTTCACGTTTACCTTCGAGAGCATGTCAAAAAGATCTTGGAATTGACGCTTCTTCTTCGTCTCTTAGAGTCGGCTAGGATAAGGTACCGGTGGTCGGTATGGTGTAGCCGACCTATGCAAGCCATTAATTTCACCGGGTCTCGTCTTCTCTTTAGACTTCTCTTCTCTCGGCCCATCTTTGTTCTTCCCGGTATCCGACGCAACCTCCGACTTTTCATCATCCTCTTTGTCATCGACATCCTCAATCATCACATCGGGAGAATCCCCAACATGATTATCTACCTTTCGTCCACTTCGTAGGACCGTCACGGCTTGGGCTTGCTCGGGTTGACTAGGAAGGCGATCCTTCTTGGTGTCTCGTTGAAGCTCTCCAATCGATGTTCCGAGTTGCCCCACTTATGTCTCGAGGCATTTGAGAGAGGCTTGGATCGAGGGTACACCCGTGACCACTTCGTGTAAGGTGGAAACGGTCGAGGCGAGACTTTGAAGGTATTTCTCCAAGTTGTCAATTCGAGTGTCCGAAGAATTCGCCTTTGTCTCTTTTTCGGGCTCCGGTGGGGGTGGTATGGGTTGTTGCGGAGCAAATCCCCCACGCTCTTGTTGGAATCCTTGAAACTCGGGCCTTGGTTGATATCTTTGGAATTCGGGTCTCGGTTGAAATGGTGGTCGGTTGTTCGGTTGAGCAAAGGCTTGAGGTTGATTATATTGTTGAGGTGGTGCCGGTTGAGATGGGTAAGCCACTTTCAGGTCCCTCCATGAGAAGTTAGGGTGATTTCGCCACCCTGGATTGTAAGTG